CACCTGGTACCAGCCAGCCTGCATCTCAGCTTGACCCTGTACAGTCCCACCGAGTTTGTCTGCAGAGCACCAGAAGCTGGGTTGTTTCTAAAAATGAAATGAAACTCCCACCAGCAGTGTGGAAGAATCAGCAAATTCTAGAGTGGCTGCTTACAATTTGCTGCCTCTCAGTCTGGCCTCCTACTGCCTTAGGCTCAAGTCTTCCAGCTAAACACAAGGCCTGAAGTAGGAGACTCCCACTGGTATCCTTTAGGGAAATGTACCTGAAGTTGGGTAACCGGCAGCTGATTCCTTTGGCCCAAATCGTGTTCTAGAGCCATGGTTTCCCAAACTTGGTGATGCTGCAATCCTTTAATATAGTTCCTCAAATTGTGGTGATCCCCAACCATAAAATAATTGTTGTTGCTACTTCATAACTTTAACATTGCTACCTGGAGCAGTGGTGCACACCTTTAATCCCAACACTCAAGAGGCAGAGACATGTGGATCTTTGTGAGTTCAAGGCCAGCCTGGTTTTCAAAGTGAGTTCCAGGACAGTCAGGGATGTTACACAGCGAAACCCTGTCTTGAAAGAAAACAAAAAAACAAAAAAAAAAAAAAAAAAACAAAGAAACATAGATAGATAGATAGATAGATAGATAGATAGATATCCTAATGAAAATGTCTGTTTTCCGATGGTCTTAGGTGACCACTGTGAAAGGATTGTTCTACCCCAGGGGGTTTCAACCAACAGGTTGAGAAACACAGATCTAGATCAACACTCAACAGCAAGTTGTAGTTCTCATTAACTTGCTTACTAGTAACCACCATCAACAAAAGAAGAAACTGAACGATACCAGGTAAAAGTATTTTAATAACATTTTTATGTAGCCCACGGAATCCAAAGTGTTAGTACTTCAACCTTGGTAAATGCTGGGGCGGGTCTCAGAGATTAGGGTTTGAACCCAGAGCCCGGGACATGCTAGCTTGTTCTCTATCACACCTCTAGACCCCACTGAAATATTTTAATTTTCTTTCTAAATTTAATGAGTGTTCTTTCACTTTGGACAGTTTTCAATTTAGATACTAACATTTCTGTTTTTCTTTCCTTTATAAAAATTTTTGTTCTTCAAAAGTGTCTTATATTGACATAATTAATTTTAATGGTTTTTTTCATTCCTGGTCCCGTCTCCCAACAGCCCCCTTCTCTCCCTCTGAAATCCTTCTTCTTGCCAACAAGTCTTCTCCTACTTTCTCACTTGCTTTCTGTGTGTAAGCCACAGAGTTTAATTAGGGTTGCTTGCATGAGCATGGGTGGTGACTGGGGGGTGGGGGAGGGAAGTTGTTTACAGAAGCATGGGTGAGACTTATTAGCAGCTACACCACTGAAAAAAAGACACCCCTCCCCCAGCAAGCATTAACTACCAGTAGACCTTTGGTGAGGCGTTGGGACCCCAGTGGTGATGAAATGTCGTCAGGGCCGGTCTTGGGCAGGAGACCATAGCTGCAGGGAGTTCGTGAATGTGTCATGCCATACCCAGAAGATGCTCATCTTCCCATCCTCTGACTCTTCTGTTCTTCCTTTCCTCTCTTCCCTGTGGTCCCCTGAGCCATAGAGGAGGGAGATAGATGTCTCATTGAGGGCTAAGCGCTCTGTTGTCGATTTAACACTGATTTTCATTGGAAGTGCTTGCTCCAGATTTGGACTTCATAAATATGTAGTTCAAGAAGTACATTCATGCCTAAGTTACTCTAGACATACTTAAAGACTTTTAATAATTGAATTGAATGTCAGATGTTTTAAAGAGGTGTAAACAAATTAATTTAAATAATAATTTGGTTGTTTCCTTGGACCAGCTACTCTAAGGTGTTATCATCTGTAGATTTAGAGAAGCCTTGCTGGGCAGCTGGGACCTGATGAGGAGGAGCTCAGGGTGCTTCCTGGTGGAGACTAGATGGTCAACAAGACCCTCATAATGAGACGGCCAGAAGTGGAAGGACAGCATGTGCCCGGGCTTTGGAGTCAGACAGACCTGATTGACACCACAGCTGTCCAGTCACTAACTACTCACCACCTGCGAGAACTTGAACTAGAAATTCAGCTATGGCTCTCTTGCTGAGAGAATTGCTCAGCATGAGCTGCAGAGACGATTCCCCAAGGGTCTCAGCTCCCACCAAATCCCACTGGAGTGCATGGAAGATTTTCAGCTAGAACCTCCTTTTACAGGGGAAGGTGCCACGGAAAGTGGCCTTCATCCCATCTGTTAAACCCGAGAATCATGGGAAAAAAAAAAAAAAGACCAGTTCCACAATTTTGAGCCAAATTTGAAGCAAGCTTTAATTAAACACTGGACAGGATGATGGACTCTGGCCATGTCCATTCCGGGGTTCCCAGAAAAAGGCAAAGAGTCACATTTTGCAGAGGCTTTAAAAAGCAACACATAAGGCCACTGTATTTTTCATCAGTTTCAGTCAGGGGCAAGCATACAACCTGAAGTACTTCCTGCCCACTACCTCCCGCCTACATCCAATCAAGCACCCTGCTGCAGTTGGGCCAAATAAACTTGTTTAGGGGAAATGGCTTGTTATCTTACATAAACAACAGCCTCCAGCCTTTCAGGAACTATCTGTCCTAGGGCAAGGGGCTTGCAGATTAGAGGTAGTTGTTTCATGGATCTCTTAGGCACAGTAATTAAAACTTAAAACATAATTTTGCCTCTCACATATCCTTGCACATGGAAGTCAAGTTCTCTGTCGGATGATTAAATAGCAGTCAATTCTCTTGGCCAATCAGAAAGCACCTTCAGTGAAAGAATGAAATCCTGTCCTTGTGGGGCAGGGGTTAAGACTTGTTAGACCCCCGGAAAACTCAGGTATCCGGGGTCCCAGGCCACAACCTCGGTCACCCCAATCACCAGGCAGATTCAAGAGCTTGCTGCAAACTGCATGAGGCTTTATTGTTTTTTTTGGTTTTTTTGTTTTTTGTTTTTTGTTTTTTGTTTTTTTTTACGAGCTAACCCCATGTTAGCTAGGGTCTTTCACCCACCCGCCAT